GAGTAGAAAATGAAGGCTAATCATGTTTTGGGTGTACTATTCCTTTAATAAGAAAGTCCGACACCTGAAGGTGTCACCAGTTGGCGTGACCGCGTTCCCTTTCAGATGTGCATCAGATTTCCAGATGTGCAGCCTTGCATCCGTGCCACAAAACAGCTGGTGAATGAACTGGATAGAGGATGATGTATGTGGATCTGACACATGGAGGAAGACCACAGAGGAAGGTGTCGCATGAGGCTGGTCGGATTTCTACAGGCTAAAACCTGCTTCTCAGCGTTAGGAGGATTATTGAGCGTGAAGGTAGAACAGGAATCTAATAACTTATGGACTGAGATTAAGCTTCCCAGAAAGCCGGAGGTGAAGCTGGAACCAACCTCCCTGCTACTCGCCTCAGATTCAACAGCTGTGGCGCCATCAGGGGACATCTGCTGCACATCACCAACACCTGTCTCCTGCAGGTGGTTGATGACTTTCATCCTCCAGTATGGGCTTTGACAGAAAATCTCCTGACCAGTCACTTTAGATTAAAACTGCTCACAAATGAGTCAACATCTGGTTTCCCAACAAAATGAAAGCGTTAAGAAGAAGAAAAGCTTGAATTAGGAACATTTCTTTGGTTCACAAAATGATTTTATATTTACTGACTGCAGCAGGTTTACATTTCTTTAAGCTCCAAATGAGATCAGCCTAATAAGACCTTTAATGGTCAGAAATGAGGATTTAACGTAGGTTTGTGGAACCATCCCTGACTTGTTTCCGGGTTAACACTACTACCAGTTCCTGACTATGAAAAAATCTGGAAGATTTTCCACAACATCTTCTTCTTCCTCTGGATTCATGACACTCTGTTGAAGTTTGGCTTTTATGTGTTCTTCCTCCAGTCAGCAGCAGCCTAAACGATTAGGATTTGGTGGTAACGCACCTCGTGCTCTTTAGGAAACAGGAAATGTTTCCTTTCGATAGCCTTTGGTAGCAAGGGGAGTTCAAAGCTCAGCTGTGCTGCAGAAAGACTGTAAACAGCTCAAAGATACAGAAATAAAGTTAACCAATAAAAACATTTTTTTGTAATTAATCAGGTCGCATTTAACAAAAGAAGAGTCCTTCACAGAACAACTAATGTATTTGTAAAATAGAAAAACTGCAAAACCTTGCTAGTAGTTGATTATATATAATATTGTTGCGTGAATTTCACCCGTGGCCCCTTTTCTGAAAGGCATCCTCCTGCAGGGGCCCGATACTCCTGGTTGGATTTATAATCCATACTAGACGTTGGTTCATTTGGCAAATGTTTCAAACTTTTTCATTGAATTTCTATATTTTAATACTTACAGCAATCCAAAGTTTTATTTCATATATGAGCTTCCATATTTTCGTGACTGTGTGGAAATGTCGAAACGCTTTTCTAGCGCTGCACCTAATGCATATTACAGTAATCAATTGATTTATGCATTATTTTTTCGATTGATTGATAAACCTAAGAAGATATACTTTTTATAAATTAAAAAGTCTATATGCAAAATATTTATATTAAAAGAAAAATTTGTTGTTCCTATTATATCAAGTGACAGTTCAAATGACAAAAATGAAAGCGTTCATAAATACACATGTAATTATTTTTATAAAATTTAACTACAATGGAAAAAGAATTTTTACAAAATGTTAATATTTTCATAATTAAAGCTGCGAATAATTTATTCTTTCAGCAAATGACCTGTTTTACAGTCTGTTTACCAATTCAATAAGCAAATTAATTAATGCCAACAATAACGGATTCATCCCACTAATCCATTTAACTCAACTATGCTCTTTGTTTACTTGATGGGTTATATTTTATACAAATATACTCTTTTTTAAACAGAAATAAAAGCAAAAGTTCACACCAGAAGTTTTGGAGGAGACCTACAGTAGTAGGCATTCAATATTTCCCCATTTTCCTTGATGGGCTCTTGGCTGGTCCCCTACAATTCCTTTTTAAACATCAATATTTGTACTAAAATATTCTTTCTGTCAGGATTTGTGGACATTAAGATCTAAAGAGAAGCTTTATCTCCTGGTCAGACCCTGTAATTCAGTGAAAGGGTGGAGTCTGAGGAAAAATATGCATAGGGGGTCACTGCAGAGGCTGGAAGTTGCCATTCGGTTGCCTTTTGATTGAGAAGGGCCATTTTTAATGGCTGTTACTATATAGATAAAATATGTAAACCTAATTCGATGGCTCCAGTTGACCCCTAGCCTGACGTAGTCCTACTCAATTCTAGTCAGAATATGAGTCTGATGCTGCTCCATAGA